CTGAGGGAAGAACCCTGAACTCCCCAGGTAGTTAATAAGATCTTAATTAAACTTTAATTATGACAATAGAAATGTGAAGCCTTAGCTATTTTGGTTCCCACCAGACAGTCCATTCCCTATTCCTGATGTCTAGACATGGAGGGCTGCAGGTGTGTCTACACACAAACTGAAAACAAAAACAAATCTAGGTCACAGACTCCAGCAGCCAAAGATGCAAATAGAATCAATTCAGTTGTTTCAGCTCCAGTTCACGTGCAGAATACCCTGATGTTCCCATCACCTGAGAAGGGAGGGCTGTTCCTGACACATAAACCTTGAAGTTACATCCTCAGGGCAGAAGATGCAATCATGTTACCGCAAGTAATGTCCCGTCCAACTTGTTCAGCTGCGAGAGCTCTGCTCCTATGTTAGCTCTTTCCTCAAGCAACTGCTCTTTGCTTTGCTCCAAGTTTAGATCCAAACTACTCCTTGCAGAGCTCCCATCATGTGCCTCTCCTTGCTCTTTCTTTCTCTGAAGTTCCCTGTTACTGATGTTGTCAAAGGTGAACCTGATCCAAGGTCTTGTGAATAGAAACACTGCCAGAACTGACCTCATCACTCCAGAGATTAAAGACAAACACTATAACTGATCAACTCAATTTAGCAAAAAAGCCCTTTGTTTCAAATGAGGAGACCAGCACAATTCTCTCCAATTTCACTTCGTATCTTTGGGGCTTAGTTTCAAGCCATCACTGCTGATTCACTCACTTCCTTAGAAGGGGAAAAAACCCCAAAACAACAAACAGCCCCCCTCCACACGTAACAAGGCAGTGGTGTCTTGCCTTCCTACTTTCCCCATAGATGTGGACTGCTCCTAAATTAGAGTTTTATACTAGGAGCTATTAAGGGTGGCCCTTTTACCCAAGTGGGTACATAGACAAAGCAAGAAAAATTATTATGTTGTTACATCAAGACGATTGTATTTTCTAAGCAGGAGTCTACAGCTCTCACAGACTCTCAGTCACCTGTTTGTGGTCCAGAACTTCAAAGAGCTGGGAACTCTCTTCTTTAGAGAAAAACAGGAATCTCTCAAGCACTTTGTTGCTTGCAGAGGTTGCTCTTTGAGTAGAAACATGAACAATTAGTGTCCTAATTAACATGAAATGATCAGTCCTAGAAGCCTTTGCTTCATTCTCCATCTGCAACTCACTGTATGAGGAAGTGGCTGAAAGAAGCAAAAAACTTTCACTTGAAAGCTCAGTCCCAGAGCTGGAGCCAGTATTTCAGGAGTAGTCAGTCCTTAGTGGCTCCCTGCTTTCTATTGCCACCCAAGCAGCTTTGAAGACTACTTTTGAAGATGCAGCCATGTATTCAGATGCTCAGGTAGGAACAAAGTGCAAGACACAGGAAAGCCATGTGGGCAAAACAATTCTCAAATCAAGAACAGCTAACAGGTAGAGTCTTCCATCAAGTGTCCCAAGCTTGGAGAAGCCAAACTGGCCAGGGTTTTGGCTAGGAAGTGATGGCTGGACGGTGTTTACATGCTTAAGTCTCGGTCCACGCAAAGGGTAGATACCAGTCCAAACTTCTTGTGTTAAAGCTCAAACCAGTCTGTGAGAAACACAGCCTGGACACCACATGAGCATGCCAAAGCACAGCCCATTTACAAGTGCATGGCACAGTACAGGCCAAGGCCAGCTCATTTTCTGAGCCAATACCAAACTGATGTTCATAATACTACCGCTGCAGCCAACAGAAAAGCTGCACCAGGTTTAGGCTGAGGCATAAATGCCCCCAATCCAGCAAACATGTAAGCACATGCAAAATTTGAAATGAACAGTTGGGAAGTCTGAGGGACTGACTCCAGTGCTGGAAGTCATCAGTGGCAGATAACGTATAGCTACAAAGCCTTTTATCTTCTAGAAGGATGCTGCTAGGATAATGAGACCTGCATCGTTAACAGGGTATCGCAACAAAACAGGCACTACCCATGAAAGAAGGTGTGGTAGGAGAAAAAAGTCTTTAAGACAAACTAGGATAGAAACAGCATGAAACAGGAAAATAAACACTCTGACTCTGGTATGGAGACAGACTATTCTTTTCCTACTCCCTAAAGTTGCATAGATCTTGGAACAAGAGGACTGAGCAGACAGTGAAGTACAATCTGGTGTACACATCATTGTGTACAATATAGAAATGATACATTTATGGCCTGGCTATGTGGGCAGGCAACGTGAGTTGAGCAAGAACAGAGAGATCTGGCAGGTAAATTAAGAGTCATAAAACAAAAGATAAAGAGGAAACTGGAACAAATACAGCCAAAGAAAAAGAGCCCCATGACAGACAGTGTTGTATGTGTGCAGGTTTTTGTTTATTTTTTTTCCTCTATCTCCTCACAAGGAGAAGAAAGAAGTCTCTAGCTTGAGTTTGTCTGCACTTTGCAGTTATTAAGCATTGTGCAACTCCATAGAGACAATCAAACTGTTCCAGACCTTCACCTGCAATAACATACCCATACCAACCAGGCCTTGTCCAATAGTATGGATCAAAACAGGGACCTAGCTACTAACTACGTATGGCTTGTAAGCAGCCTGGGAGTCCTCCTCACCTCATAGTACAACCATGTCATTAAGTGAAAGAAGGAGCAAACTCTATGCAGAAACAAACGGAGAGCACCAAACTTGCTCCTTTACAAAGTAAATTATCCCTCTGTGACACTGCTGCAACAAAAAAAAAAAAAAAGCAAAGCATTTCTTGCACAGGATTATACCATTTCTTATGCTTTTGTGTCCCCATTTTCCCCAGCAGAGCTTTGTAAGTTGTCCCTGTGTGTTCACTCACTTGAAAGGCAGACACAGAAACAGTCTGATACTGGGGGTTCCCAGACAGCAGCACAATTCCAAAGAAAACAATTTTCAAAGAGCCTATTTCAAAGTCTTTGTTGGGTTTATATTAAACACATAATTAATTGAACTGCCTGAGCAAACTGAGAGGAAATCAAAAATGTACCGAATTACCAACCATGACAGTTCGTAAGTCAGGTTCTGAAACAACCACAAAATGGGCTTAGAAACATAAAAATCATCTGCCTCCGGTTCTCCTTTTCCTCAAGTTGCCTATACTAGAAATCTAGTAGTGGGCAGAAGTGAGGGTGTGAATTTGCAGTGCAGTAGCTGCTCTAGACCTGCTCCCACAATGGACGGCATGCTCCCTTCCCCTAGAAGTGAGCAGCTGCAGGAGGAGCCGCAGCTTGCATGATAGGCATGCACATCTCCACCCACCGTGGGGTACCGTGGGGTATTACAGGCTGCGATTTTCCCATCTAGCACTGTTTTTCCTGCAGTTCTGGTTACCCTGACCCCCACAGCTGGTCTCTCACAATAAATGTCACCAGGTTAGGCAACTCTGGATGTTGCATCTCCATGTCCCCAACCCATGCAGCTTCCCAGTTCACCTGCAAAACTGCAGAGCAACAGCCACTCTTCAAAGAAAGCTGTCTGAAGGCCTACAGTGTCAACAGTTTCACGAGCTTAATAGGGACACTTCTCAGCCTTCCTACCACTTTCTTACAAGCAAGTGGAGAAAGCACTTGGTCCCCACCCCTTCCCTACTATCATACTAAACCAGAGACGCATGTCAGAAAAAGAAAAACACTGTCAATGTTAATAAAGCCTCAACTAGATGAGAAGTGGAGGAGGTGGGACCTCCCAGCCAATTCCCACGGTGGCTGTGAGCAAACAGCACCAGCACAAGGATTCAAAGCACTGTTAAGCAAAAGACTGGAGATGTAAATGAGGGTACCCAGCTCCAAACAAGGAAAGAGAGAAGTGCAGATGCCCTGCCTGCAGTTAAGGACTGCACAAGTAATGAATCCTGGGCCACCATGCTATTCTCTGCACCATGGTGCCCTGCCAAGATTGGCCAGTGTAGCAGCACTTCTGACATCTGCCCAGAACTACTGTCCCTGTCCTTGCTGGGCAGCACCTCCCCTTCTGCTCCGTCTCTTCCAGCATGGGAAACTCTGCATCAGTGACAGGACAGGCTTCAGGATGCAGGGGAAAGGGCCAGGCATCAGTTGAAACTCCCCAGCCTTGTGGCCAAAGGCTCTCCCACCTTGGGCTACCAGAGCATGCTACAACAGCAGGTGGTCTCACCTATTCCTAAGCAAATGCCACTTCCTCTCTCCAAACTAGCACCTCCCTGCAGCAAAGATACCCAAGGCCAGAGAGCAATCTTATGCCTACTTGTCATCCCACCAGGCAGGTAGAGACAGCTGCTCCCTGGTGTATTTAGTTCAGAGAGGAAAGCCCATGACTTCCCCTTCCAACACAGGGACAACACAGAAGTTGTTCTACTTGCCTGCTGTGACACTGCAGGAACAACAGCAACAAACTCCAGCTGGTTTGCAAACACAAAGGCACTTGCACAAGGGCCTGCACTAGCCTGTGAAGCTCCCTGCAGGAAGCTGTGCTGTGCTGATCCTCAGCCAGTCTCAAAGGAAGGAAAAAAAAAACCAAACCCCAAACAAAAACACTTTTCCCAATGCAGAGGATGGGCCTCTATTTCTGAGGGCACCGAGAGGTCCACTGGGATACTTTTCCAAACAGCACTTACTTCTCAGTTTTACCCACAGTACCTGTGCTTCCCCCAAGTGATCACACCTTTCTTTTTAACTAGCCATTATAAAAGCAAGTTTAGACACAGAGCCCCACCCTGCCGTGGGGTCCCACAGGGCAGCCCAGTCAGGGACAGAGAGCAAACGCCCAAAGGTTCAGTGTGTCAATGCTGCCCAGGGAAGAGGACAAGGACCTCCCCAGGCCAGGTCTAAACCAATTCAGGACACAGCCTGTACTCCTACAGCTAGCAAACTCTCCTGAGGACACAGGCAAAGGCAGGGGCTGCAGGGAGCAAATGCAAGTCTCTGAGTAGAGAGCACTTACCCCACGCCCCAGCCTGCGCTCTTGATGCTGCAATACCCACCCAAGCAGCCAGCCTGGCACCCTGCGCACCACTCATCTCACCTGGGAGAAGTTCAGCCCATTGAGCGGGTGGCACTGCTCCTCTACTTTCTCCACAGCACCCGTTTGCTTCCTTAGCCGCTCCGCTTCCTGGGCCAGGTACAGATCCAGGACGGGCACGCCTCGTGACTTGATGTCTACCTCTGTCAAGGAGTTCACCATCAGCATCACCCATACTGGCCTCTTCCGCTCCCAGTTGCCAGCAATGGCATTGAAAAGGTAGTCTGCATACAGCCCTTTGCCCCGCTGGTCTGGAGTCATCCAGGATGGCATCATGAGCTTGACATACTCCAGGTGCCGCTTGAGCCGATGGTAGATGTCGTGAGGCAGCACATCCTGGAGGTTCTCCCCCTGTGGCAGGAGCTGGCAGCTGGTGAGAGCTGAGATGGTGTAAGGGTCAGTGAGATCCAGCTCAAAGTACACGATGTGGCTCTGCTGGAAGGCCTTCTTGGAGTTCTCTGGAATGAAATCCCAGACACGTGTATATGGTACATGGATGGTGCCAAAAAAGTAAGACGGGGGATCTCTCTTGATGGTCCACAGGAAAGAGTTCAGCTCATTTTGCTGGGGGAGAGGGAGACACAGCTGAGTAAGTACAGACATTTACGCTGGGCCACTGCAGCACAGGCCTTAAGGAAAACATGGTGCCAAGCCAGCAGGTCACCTGGCTCAGCAGTTTGCCAGCACAGACTTTTCCTAAAATGGCTTTGCTCACACAGAGTCCTCTTAGACCATCCTTTTTCTCAGGTCTTGAGGTCAATACTCAGTTTTCATTAACTCAAAACACAAGAAGATAGGCTTTGGCTTTTCTCCTTTTTCTTCTCAACAGTAACACCACCCAGCTCACTACCCAGGTGTCTGCCAAAACCAGCAGCAGAGCACAGCCCAGGTAGGTCATGCTCCAGGCAAGACGCTTATCCAACTTCCACCTTTTATCTAGCCAAAAGTGGGCATCACCTTGCTGAAGCAAAGCAGGACAGCAGGGTTTCAATCACTTTCACCTTGATACCTTTCACTTCAGCACAGCAAGGCACCTTTCATCAAAGGCACTGCTGTGACTCTTACAGGGTGCCACAGCATCTTGGGAGAACTTTTTGCTCTTGAGACACCAAATAAACAAGTAACAGATAACAAAGCTGGCAAGCAGACTTGCTGGAGCAGGTAGAAATACAGTTTTACAGGGATGTAGCACATGCCAGACAGACACACAGACAAGACACCTCACAGCCCAGTTCTCTTTCTTAAGCAGCAGAGAAGCACGTGCTACACCTTGGAAAATAAGGGAAGAAATTCTGTAGGCCGAACTTGGCTTGTGGTTCCAGGGCATATTATTTTAAACACAGAAAAGGAAAAAGTTTCTTTCTTTAGATTAGCTTTTAAAGTCTCCCAAAAACCACAGCCAGCAGGAAGTCAGAATCAGATTTTAAATTTGTTCTGCTGCAAAATATGCCTCAGCATCCCCAGGAATACCAGAGTAGTGGGCTGTTCTCAAGCCCTAAGAAATCCCGCAGCACAGAACAGCAGATGGGGCAACATGGATTCTGCTTGGAATCTGTCAAGTCACTTTACACCAGCAGCAGGCATGACCTCCATTACCTACAGCATGCAACCCACTAGTGCAGTGGTACTTATTGGAAGATGGACACAAATATCTTCTATCTGGCTGTGCAGACAGGAAGAGGTAGCTTTTGCATGTGTAAGTAAGAAGACAGACTTTCAAATGCCCTCAAACACCTAGTCAGCCCTCAACCAGCTGATAACTCTAACCTCAGCTCTGAGGCTAAGTGTGCATGTGTGCTGATCTAAGAAGCCTGTGTGACTGCCAAATGTAGAACAGCCTGCTTAGAGGAATTCATTGGAAGCACATTGCAATGATTTCTAACATTGAAGACCCAGGGTCAGAAAGGTTAACCTGCAATGGCTCATTCCAGAAAACCTTCTCCAGCAGCTCTCTACATCAAACTCAGACCACAGATCAGGCAGCACTCCAGCAAAGTGCTACCACCAGTCCAGCTTACCAGCATGGACCGACAAGCCAACCATACTCCAAAGTGCTCTCTGGACACTTCTGCAGCACATCAGGAGTCTGAAGGATACCTCAGACCTTGGCAACACCATGCTCCAACTACGGATCCTATAGGACAGTCCTGAAATGCACTCCTGAATTACAGACCATAAAAACTCTCCTGAAGACCATGGGAAGAAGTGAGAACAAACATGCTGCAGCGACAAGAGGTCAAGAAGATACAGGGCGACAGGTGAGTACAAATCTGTTATATACCCATGAAGAACATAGGAAAACGAATATGCAAAGTAAAACAAGAAGGAAAACAACACAGGGTTCCCTCCTGTCAGTAGTCAGGAGGGAAAAATCGAAGGACACACTGCTGTGGTGAGAAATTAACCGGAAGCTGTTGTCAGCCAGCAAAGAGGGAGGACCAGAAGTGCTGCTTTCTGTCTATAAGCAAGCAAAGAGACAGAAAAGGCACCTGGGACTGACACGAGTCTGGGAGGCCAAAACTCCTTCACTTCATACAAGTCTGATCATGTACACAGCAGTGCACAAGAACAGCCATGACTGCAAGGAATCATAAGGAACAAGTGGTCACCAGCCAGCTTAAAACTTCATTTCAGCTCCTGAATAAACCCAGCGAGAAGGCTCAGACTCAGATGAATGGTATCAGGCTCTAACACAGATCATCAGCACTGCTCTAAACCACTGCACACAGCTCAGCTAGAAAGGTGTTTGGCATGGCACTACCACATTTTTTGCTCTGCACATCCCCCTGGCTTTCACAATTGAATGCTGAAAGCAGAGCAATACTGGTAGTTATTAGTGGTATCACTGATGAAATCACACAGGCCTTCAGGCACAGAGTAAATATAGTCTTCCTTTAAAGAGCCTGCAGCACAGGCATAAGAAAGCAAACTGAGACCTAGCAAAACTTCTCACACAATCCTAGAGACTGAGACCTTACAAAGTAGAGCAGCTGGACACTTCTATCTAGCACTTCCACTCCAACTGGAGCAGTCATGAACTTGGCAACCCACCCCAAGCACCATACAGACCTCCCTTCTCAGAACTGCTTGGAGCCAGGGGTCAGAGAACAGGCCTCAGTTTCCCACCATTGATGGGAAACCTTCCCAGACCCTGCAGAGCCAGTTTCCAGGCACCAGCAGTTGGGTATCATCACCACACAATGCTACAACAGAAGCTCACAAAGCTCACTTTCCCTCCAAAAGGTGGCATTACAGCCGCTCGGGACTTGCTAGTGCCTCACATTCCTTTGGTATCTACTTTTCCCTCAGGAGGTGGAGACTGGAGTCCCAGGACTGCTCTGCCTCCACATCAGACCCTTGCAAACAGCCTGCTACTGCTTTGTGTGATAAGAGATCGGGCAAAGTCCTTGTGTGCCTCAGCAGGTCTGTGCTTCCCCTGCTGTACCTTCTGGCACTCTCATGTCCCTGTGCACTGCCTGGAGCTCACGCATGTTTCACTGCAGCTTCTAAGAGAGAAAAGCAAGGGCTTAATCTCTCCCCAAGACCATAAAATGGGAGCCATTAAACAATGCTCTAGGTGGCTGTGAGATAGCACAGCAGTGCCGAGGCTTGTTCAGCATCGCAGTATACACTGTCGCTGGCAATGCCTCTCTCTCACTTCAGTTCCCTGAGACCATGTAGTAGATAAAGATGCTACAATGCAATTTTCCTTTGCAGTAGGATCCTTCTATACAACTCTTCCATTAGAAACAGGTCCTTTAAAACCAGCATAAATTGCAGTCAAAGTTATGTCCTGGAGGCTTAAGAGAGCTGGGTGGTAATTTCACCTTCAGCACCGTAACAAAAAGTCAGGTTCACATATAGACCAACATGCGTATTTCTGCCTCCACTGTCCAGTTTATGGGTGGTACTCAATGCACTACTCATGATGGGAAAAACCAGGAGCAAGAGGAAAAAATGGAGAGGCAGCCAAAGGAAGAGAGCAGCAGTCCCACATGAGAATACAGGCCTCCCAATTTGCTGCCACACCAAGATCTGAGGCAGCCTCACACTAGCCATACCACATCTCCTCTGAGCCTCAAGTTTAACCCCCCACTACATAGTCCCAGATCAAGGTATTTCTGAACACTTAGCACTATGGCACTGTGCCTTCTCCCCTACCCAACCTCCCCACATGAAAAACATCTGGCTGTGAACTGATTCAGGATATAAGGCCAGCCAAAAAATTGCTTGGGGAAAAAAAAAAAAAAAAAAAAAAGAGAGAGAGAAAGGCTTTTCCCCAGACAGCAGTGGAATGAGGGAGAAGAAGGAGCTGCTTAAGCTGACACTGTCACACAGACAACACACTGGGACCTGTGGGATTCCCTAACATGAGGCTGGGAAAGCCTCCCTTCCCAACCAGGGCTGCACAGGGGACAAACACCACTGCCTGCTATGAGATGCAGTGGGGGCACATAAGACCAGAGAACACTTCCCCAAAATGAGGGGATAACAGTGTCAGACATTGCAGAAATCCTGGAAAACCATGATGTATATCAAGGGTTTTACCTCAGCAGCTGAGGAAGGGTCTAGGCAAAACCAAAAAAACATTTAAGAAAAGGAGAAAAGTGATGTATTGCAGATCAGTAGCGGAAACTAAAGGATGCTAGTCCCATATCCCAACACCTGCCCTCTAATCACATAGCTGGTTATCCACAGGTGGCACTGGGAACTCCCATGACCTCCTGCCCTCCTCCTGTCTGCTTCAGCAGAACAAAGGCTCCAACCAAGAGGTACTTTCATCATCTTTCCAATAGGTTTCTTCTTTTAATACTTTAAAAAACCCCAAGGCTCAGATCCTGTTCATTTTAACAGCAGCTTGCTTTTCCAGCAGTATTTACAGGTCCACCACAGGGTGCAATCTGTAGTCCTCAAATACACAAATACTACTGCATTTATCAGACATCATGCATCATTTCAGGTGAGGCAGCAATGATTCTGCTGGAAAAGTGGTGCCAAAGAGGATCAGAGACATCTTTCTTCTGAGAAACTAGCTCAAATTGGGCTAAATAATGCATTGACTGTCAAGTGTAAAATTACAGTAAACATCCAGAAAATAATGCAGCAAAAACCAGGAGAAACAAACAATGCAGCTACTGTCAGCACTCTGAACGTCTAGAAGAGCATGGGAGTTTAAAAAAAAAAAACCAAAAAAATTCAACAGGGAAGTCTGCGGTGATAGGAGGGCAGAGGCTCAGAGGGGAAGGAAAACTGCTGTCCAAAGACTAAGAAATTGGATGTGAACTCCAGACATAGCAAACTTACACCTGCTTACACCTTACACTGATGCTTCCATCTACATTGCTTCTGCTTCCTTCCATCTTCTGTCCATCTCATCTATGTAGACAACAAATTTTCCAGCACAAAGTGTGCAACTTGCTATGCAGGTAGGTGCCCTCTGTGGCTTCAGCATCTTTCAAGACCCCTAACTCTCATACTCACCACCTGCTCCCACAGCCACATCTTCCAAACCTCAACCCAGGATTGCACTGTTTCTCAATGCACAGTATTCTGTTAATTTTTTT